CCACCACCTTACTCTATGTTTGCTCATGGAAGCAGATCTTTATTTGTGTACGTTGTCTGCTATTCTTGCTGGTGTAAAATCCTGCAGGCTGAGATAGCAGCACCAGAACATAGCTCAGGAGACACATGATAAGTGAATGAACGAATGAAACATGAATTAATGAAGAACCTGGAGTCAGGATAGCTGAAAGGGCTTCATTTCTTTAAAGTTAGACTCCCTCTGAGTCCAAGATGAAAGCGATGTCCTCCTATCACACCCATAATCCTAGCTACTCAGGAGGCTAAGATCTGAGGACCATAGTTAAAAGCTGGGGGCTGGGGGAAAACATGGTAGTTCAAAGTCTATGGGACTCTTAACCTCCAACTAACCACCAACAAGCAGGAAGTGGAGGTGTGGCTTGAGTGGTAGAATGCTGGCCTCCAGTTCAAAAGCTCAAGGATAGTGCCCAAGCCCTGAGTTCAAGCTCCAAGACTGCCCCCTAACCCCCGCCCTGCCACACACAGAGAAAAGCCCAACGTTTGCATCCAATATCAAGAATCATAATTCCTGAAATTCTTCCCCCAAGGAAGAGCACCTGCATTAATGTGAGAGGCACAGAGCCTTGAATCCATCTGAGCATCTGCTAAAGCCCTGCTCCATCTGCTTCCTCTAGCACAACTGATCCCCTCAGAAACTTGTGGACAGACAGTGGGTTGACACCAACACCACAGCCCACATCCTCTCATGTAACCTGGGTATGTCCCCCACCATCACTACCCATTCTCCTGACACCACCAGCCACATCACCCTGTGCAGCTTGCCTGCTATGGCGGACAGAAGGAATGTGGCAGAAGTGATCGTGGGTCAGGTCTGGGCCATGTTTGTAGGCATTCAGCAGCTTCTGTTTTCCCGCTGAGCTGGCAGCCACCCTCTAAGCCTGACTTCATGGGAGGAAGCCCCATGAAGGACTCCCGCTGGGAGGAGGCCCCAGACAGCCATAGGACAGAGACAGCCATGTGGTAGAGGCTGGGGCTGGGCCAGCCTGGGCCTTCCTGCAGATGTGCAGCCCTGCCCCAGGTCCCCACCCTGGTAAACGGAAAGCACTACCACTGTTGCAGACCACCAAGCTTTGTGGTATGACAGCGCCATGACCAATCCGGCCTTCTCACTGATGCCCCTCCTCCAGCTTTCTGAACCCCACCCAACTCTCAAGTCTCAGCTGTTAATACCATCTAGAAGTTTCATCATCTTGCTTCACTCCTCGCCCTATGGGTCTATAAACCCTGCTCAGCCCTGAAGGCTCAGCTGAGGAGCGCCCTCCTCTGAGAAGCCCTCCTAGCCTGCACAGCACACCCTACTCCTAGGGCAAAGCTCTACCACATAAGAGGGGCGAGGCTGTATGGGAATTGAGTCATGAGAAACAACAAAGCCACATTCTTGAGCGGTCAGATTGGTAGTCTTATAGGAGAGCCTGCGACTGCAGGTGTACTCTTGTCACAAAGACCTACCGTCCCTCACATACATTTAACACTGTTAGAAAACTGAGCCATGACAGTAGTAAAGCAAAGAAAGAGCAGAAAAACCCCACCACCTAGCCAGATCAACCCCCATGAAGAGCTGAAGTGGGACACCACGGTGACAGGAGAGCCTGGAGACAGGAGACACAAGGCCTGGTGTCCTGATGCCTGAGCTGGTCTGGGCCTAAATAGGGCCAGGGGTAGGGGGCAGGGAACTTGACAATTCAAAGCACAGGACAGGTCCAGTAACCTGTCACCCAAGTCCCCACCCCTCCCTGCCTCTAGGAATTCAGGCACACCTATCACTTGGGGGTGGAACTTTCTGCCTCTCTCATTAAACCCAATCCCCTATCATCTGCCATGTGTCCAAGATGGTGCCAATTAGATCCTTATTTTGTTGTGAGAGCGTAGAAACAAACCCCTCTTCGGCTGTCACTGTGCTTCCATAGACCACCCCACTCATCCTCAACGGGCCTGCATGTCTCTTTCCAGCAGAAATGTCGATGCTTTTTCAATAAGGCTTACACCAACTCACCCCTGCGCCTGCACAGAGCCTCGCACACAGATGGTGCTCAGTGAATGCTCTGTTGCCTTTGAGCTAATCCATGTATAATGAGTCACCACCGAGCTGTGATGTCCGGCTTCCAGATCTCCCTGGCCTGGGTGCTCTATGAGGCTGCAGAAGACTTAGTCTACTTCTGGCTCTTGGCAACACAAATGCTTGAAAGTGCATGCAGTCTCCATTCACCACAGTGGGTCCAGCCCCAAAGGGCTGTGCATTCTTGACAAGGCACCCACCTCCAAGTCATGCTACACAGACAAACATCGAGGACAGACACAGCTTCCCACGCTGCCTGGGCGTTGCAAATCAACTGGAAATATCTGGGCTCTGACTGTTATGATAAAGCAGGGTCCAGACAGCATTGTCACCACAAGGGACAATTGTCGTGTGTATACACACACACAGGCCTCGTGACCTTTTCTCCACATTCCAGACATTGCAGGCTGTGTGGCCTGGGGGGGGCGGGGAGGGAGGGATGAGTGATACACAGTGCAGGACACTGTCCTGAGGGGCCTGGTCCTGCCTGGCCTGGGTAACTAGCTGCACAATGAGCACCAGCCTCTGAGTACAAGGTCCAGGTCATGATACCACCTGACTGCCAGGCCCCTGCCCAGCTGGGCTCTGGCTCTCTCTCCCTGGCTGGGTTTTATCCAGGCCCTCCTCAGTTGTGTCCTAATGACAAAATTCCACAAATTCACAGAAACCACAAGAGCCCCACTTCATGGAATAGGCCCACATCACCCAGAGTGAACAAGCTAGAAAGGTAACAGAGCTGCAAGGGGGTAGGGTAGGGGGGACAGAAGGAAGACGGGAGGGAAGACTGTAACAGGAGGGCCTGGTAACTTCCCAGCACACAGCTGGCCCTCCACAAGCCCTGGCAGGCCGCAGACTTCTGTGCCCAACTCTGGGAGGCACAATTCCACATGGGGCAAGAAAGGATCTCGAATACACCCTGGTGTAAGTGTTATGCCCACCTTTGGTCCTCAGCTCCGCCCAAACCTGAGCCCCTCCCATCCCTGGAGTTCTGCCATACAGCTGGCCCCTCCCTCTCTGCCCAGACACACCTGAGCTCCCATCTACCTCACTTCCTATCCCCAGCCCCTGCTGCTACCTAGATAGCAGAGGCTGCCATGTGCTCTCTCTCCAGGGGAAATATGGCTCCTCTAATAAACCTTGTAATAATCTTTCTCCTGTGCCTGCCTGTGTGGTCCTCTGGCATGGATGTGATGGATCCTTTCACCTGGCCTGGGCACTAATCCCAATCCTACTGTTAAACTGTCTGTGGAACTTACACGTTTCCTCTCTCTAGAACACTGTCTGGTCTCCTGGGCTTGTCACAGCCTCCCAAGCTATGGCCATGAAGGTGCTCAATAAATGTTAAGCTCCCCTCTGGATCCCTTTTACAGAACCTCCAACTACAAAGAGGAAGTCATTTGGAGCTAGAAGCAGAATCTAGATAAAAGGGACCCAGGAGATTTTATCTATCTCTCTTGTTATTTTTAATGTACTTATAATGTACCATGTGTTTTTTTTTTGTTTCTTTGTATGTTCCTCCTCCCTGGTATAACCCCTGTTGTCACTGTATTTGATTCCGGTGCCCTGCATCTTGTATATACATTTTTCTAATTTGGGGGAGGGGAAGGGAAATAACAAAATGCTGAATCAAGGATACAGGTTGACCCATTGTAACCATGAGATGTACAAAACACTGTTGAAAATGAACTTTACACTTTGTGAGGGGGAGGAGGAACTGGGGAGGTGGGAAGGGGAGGGATGTTAGGGGGCAAACAAAGGAGGGGTAACAATGCTTGATAGGAAACGGACTCGTTACCTTGCTCCTGTAACTGTAACCCCTCTCTCTGTACAGTATCTTTACAATAAATATATATTTTAGAAAAAGAGAGATGCCTATCCAAGAATTATGGGTTTAGCCACAGGTAACAACTCATTATGGAATATATTATTCAGTTATAAAGGGATTATTCATTCAACAGACCTTCTCAGCACTGTGGATTGTGGCATGATGGGGCTTTGTAGTTACTGTCCCTACAATGCTTGTGCCCGTGGTCTTGTGGAAACAAATTAAGGCACATTTGGTGTTGGGTGAATGGTTAGTACCCAGAGGAATCCACAGGGACTAGAGGTGACCAGTATCCCTGGTCCTAAGTTGTGATGCCATAAACCAGACTCCAACTTTCAACTCTCCAGCATCCACGCAGCACATATCAGTATCAGCATTTCTCATCTATTTGCCCTAATGGAGCAGATTTACTTTATTTATGATACATAGTGAACTGCTACTATGTTTGTGTGTACATGTACTGGTACTGGGCTTGAACTTAGTCCTTGAGCTCTTGGTTTTGTTTTTTGTTGTTGTTGTTTGCTCAAGATTGGTGCCCTACCAACTTTAGCCACAGCTCCACTTCTATGTTGGTGGTGAGTTGGAGATCAGAGTCTTATGGACTTTCCTGCCTGGGACTGGCTTCGAATCATGATTCTCAGATCTCAGCCTACTGAGTAGCTAAGATTATAGGTGTGAGCCACTGGTACTTTTATAAAATACATGGAGCATGTGCTTCAAGGTTGCAGTGATGTTGGATCATGCTCAAAGTTTCTAAAGGCATATTGTCCATGTTAGAATTAACCAACCAATTTACACTTGGGGTAACACTGGTAGACATCCAGCAATCTACCATAATACTGTCACATTGTGCAAATACCTCCAAGAAATGGAATTGCTGGCCGAGAACATCAACTCAAGGCCTTGAGTTCCGCAACCCCCAGTACCACAAAGTAAGGAATAAAAATAAATGAAGGGGTGATATTGCCCAAAAAGAATTTGTGCTTATTATGGAATTGTAACACCTCTGTATGAAACCTTTCATAATAACTGTACAATTCTACTTATTTAAAAAAAAATGGGACTGTCAAGTTGAACTTACTTGCTGATGGTTGGAATTTGACCAGATCTTGCAGGTCAGTAGAAATCTGGAAAACATGACTATAGAACTGCTGGACAGAATTCTTCAGGCCGGAAATGTCTCTGGAATGGGACCTGAGTGTCCCGTTCATCTGCCTGACACAGGTCCACAGGCTGCTGACGTGTTTGTTGAGGCCTTCCTTGATCTTCTGCAGACTTCCAGAGATGGAGTCCAGCCGGCTGCACGTCTTCTCCATTTGAGACACCCTATCCTCCACCGCAGTCACCTCTCTCTGGACCCCGTGCGTATTTTCCTTACAAGTGTCCAGCTCAGCCAACACCTGGTCCTGCCACCGCTGCCACCTGTCCTCCAGCTGGCCGCAGCACTGAGCCATGGGGTCCTGGGGAGATGGGAGGGTGCCCGCCATCTGGTCCAGCTCACCGACTTTGGAAAACCCACCCAATTCGGCATTTTTACCTGCTTGACTATTGTTCATTTCACTCTCAAGCTGAGTCACCCCGTTTTCTGTGCGATTTAGTTGAAAATAGAGGACAGTAAAATCCTCTTGGAGCTTCCGGATGCTCTGTTCGGTTTCTTGGAATTTTCTCTGCATGGTGGCATTTAGGGACACCAAAAGGTTCAGGATGTCATCCGGGTGGTCGTCTCCGTGTGGCAAAGCGCCCTCCGTCTCGTGAGGGCCTCCCTGAGAGTTCTGAAGGCAAAAGTCCTCCACCACTTGAACTTTGACCTTTAGGTGGTTTAGCTCCATCAGAAACTGCTCACTCCCCGTTCCAGACCCCCTGGCTGGGGCTGGCCCTGGGGCTGTGAACTCCACCTCAGAGCCATTGGCCATCTGGAGAAGGCTCCCCAGACGATCTTCCAGGGAGTGGATCTTCTGATCCAGAAGCTGCTTCAAGTCCTCCACCTCGCCATGGATGGCCCCCCGAAGGGTCTCCTCGATGTAAAAGCAGTGTTCTTCTGCATTCTTCTCTGTCACATTGATTCTGGCATCCAGTTCCTGCCATCTGGCATCGAAGTCCACATCTGCTTCTGGAACCGCCAAGCGGTCAAACTCATTATCCAGCCGTCCATTCAACATTCTGGTGGCTTCAGCCACTCTCTCAATTTTCTGGTCTAATGTCTTGATCTGGTGACCAAAGTCACCATCCACTCCACCACCTCCACCGCTACAGCAATCTGGCCGGGCTGAAGGATCCTGCAGCCGGGCTCGGAGGTCATTGATGTCTTTTCTTAGGCTGGTCTCCTTCTCCCCAATCAGCTCGATCACCCCCTGGTAGCTGCTGCCATAGTCATCACACTGCTGCTGGAGGCCCACCAGCTTGTACTCACATGTGTTCTTCAGGTCAGCCAGCTTCCTGTCCAGCCCTTCCATGAGCTCCTCCCTCAGGGCGTCCAGCTTACTGTCCACGTAGGCTTGGTAGAGCTCATTGGTTGTCATGGTCACCGTAGGGCCCTGGGCCGCCTCCTGCAGTTGCTTGAGCTGCCCTTCGTAACCCTTCACTTTCCCATCCAGCTCTTCCAGCTTGTCGCTCTTGGTCTTCAGCGTATCTTTGACTTCAGCCAATTCAGACTTGATGTCCTTCATACCAGATTCCTTGGGAGGCTGGGCGGCATCTGTGTCTCCAGCAATGTCCCTGTCCGGGGCCGGCTGAGGGTGCGGGTAGCTGGGCCCTGGAGCCAAGATTTTGCTGGCATCCTCCTGAGTGATGTGTCTGAGGTTCTTATTCACTCCGGCCATGGAAGATTGGAGGTCCACAACCATCCGGGTGAGGCGGAGAACTTTCTCCTCAAGCACTTGAATTTTCTTCTCCTGGAGCTCCTGAGGCCCCGGTTTTGGATCCCCTGCTTGGCTTGGTTCTGCTGCACGAGTTGGTGACAAGGTCTGCTTAGGCTGAGAAACTTGACTTGGTTCAGTATCTATAAGAATAAAAACACACACATGGTTTAGTATTTGTCACCTTTGGCCGACAACTGCAAAGACCATGGACAGGATGCCTACAGAATATACCTGAACCCTCACTCATGGGTGAGTGTGTTCTAAGTCAGCCATTGCTGTGTTCCCTCAAGCAAGTTAATTAACTTCTGTGAACTCTAATCCACTCCTTCATACAGAAAAGGCCATAAGTGTTCAAAGTATACAAGATGCATGCTAGTTAGTGGTCCTGTTCTCCCTAAAGGGAAATAGTAATTATCTACTTTATCTGGTCAACATTTTGGTTCCACCTTGATGAACTGCAGCCACCAACCACTAGTGAACTGCCACTACATACCTCCACACAAAGATACTTACATTCTATCCTGTGCCTGCTGGACCATTTGGGGTAATCTGAAAACAATTCCTGAATGTCTTAGTTTTCTTATCATCCTTATGCTAAGACTCTTGTAGAAATAATTTGGCCCTGTATGAGTATGGGCAAGTCAACCTCATGAGGCCCCGGGTTCAATTTCTAGCACTAATTTTAAAAGAAAAAAAAAGCAAAAGAGAGCTATAGCAAGAACTGGTTGGTGTCACCTAACAAAAGAGTCATCTGGTCATATGCAGTAAGATTCTCTAAGTTAAAAATTATAAACATTCCATTTTCGATCCTATTTGGGGTGAATGTCCCTACCCCACCCCACCCAAAAAAAAAACAGTCAAAAGAAAGGGAAAAAATGTCTTCAAAGACAGTGGAAGATCATGGACATGAACGGCCTCAAAGTCCATCAGTCATCACCAAAGTGGAAAAAGTCAATGCAGCAGATTGTAATGAATTAAAATGCATGAATACACAGGACTGGAAGCAGTGAAGTACACTGGGAATGTTGTAGGTACTTGAATGTAATGTTCCTTCTTTAAACTTTTGCACAAGATTACAGTAGCAGCTATTTATTTATTGCCAGTCCTGTTGACTCAGGGCCTGGGCACTGTCCCTGAGCTTCTTTTTGCTCCAGGCTAGTGCTCTACTACTTGAGCCATAGCACCACTTCTGGCTTTTTCTGTTTATGTGGTACTGAAGAATCGAACCCAAAGCGTCATGTATGTGAGGCAAGCGCTCTACCACTAAGCCACCTTCCCAGCCCAGCAGCTATTATTTATTACAAGCAACTTGATGGTAAACCATAACCAAAACTCAAGGGCTAGGTTCCTAAGCAGAGAACGATGAAGAACACTTAACTTCCCATTCTGATATTTCTACTTTATCTCAAGGCACGAGAAGAAAAAAAAAAAGATACAGCCATATGTAAACAAAACACAATTCTGAGCCCCAGACAGAAGAATGGGGATGAAAGATGGTGAACACTTCCGTTGCCCACCAATGGTGACTGTCAGTGGCTACATTTTCAAGGAACGTGTGGCAGTAGTTATCAACATACTCTTCCTCTTGATCCAGCAATTATACTTCTAGAAATATATTCTATAAACTAATGAGGAATGATCACAAATATTTACAAGAAAAAAATTGTCATACACCCATGATCTATAATAATGAAAAATGACCACAACCTAAAAAAGAAGTAACACTGAGGAACCGTGTCCAAACAACCCTATTCTCCAATTTCTATACATGATTCTATAGACACATGACAGAAAATAGTTCTGTTTTGGTGCAAGTACTAGAGCTTGAACTCAAGACCAACAGGTTTTAGCTTTTTCTACCCTCAGCTAGCACTTGAATCATGCCTCCACTCTGATTCTCATATCTCAGCTGCCCAAGTACCTAGTATGTTCTTTATTATTTTCTTTCTTTGCAGAGAGAGTCTCACTATTTAGTCCAGGCTTCCTACAAATTTGTGATCCTCCTGACTCAGCCTCCTGAGTACCATGATTTTAGCAAATATAATATGTTCTGGACAAAGATAATAGAAAATGATAAATAATTCCTTTTGTTCCTCCTAAATCCCCTATAATGAAAATAAAAATGGGACCATATATTATATATATTATTGTATATATTATACATATTAATATATAATCATATATTACATAATACATATAATATAGATAGGAATCAGGTGAGTTTGGACTGCTTAATAGCGATATTGGAAGCCACAGAAGAAGTGAACAATGTCTTAAAAATTCTGAAGATGGACCTGGTAGTTTATGCCTATAATCTCAGCTTCTCCTAGGGCAGAGGAGAGTCCTAAGTTTGAGGCCTGCTCAGGCAAAGTTAAAAAGACTGCCTCAAATACAAAATACAAAAAGGCTGGGGGATGTTGCTCAAGTAGTAGAGTACTTGCCTATCAAGCACTGAGTCCCAGCTCCCCAAATCCCTAAAACTGAAATAAATATCTGAAGAAAAATAATTTCTAATCCAATTCTGAAGCTAAAGTAAAAATATTTTCAGAAGTACAAAAAGTATCATTCCATGACACTTCTGGAAGAGGATATGGGTGTAGTTTAATGCTACCAAGTCCCTGCCTAGCATGCATGAAGGCCCTGCGTTCTGTCCCCAGCACTGGAAAGAAACATTTACAGTAATAGCCTGCCTGTGAAAACAAAGGAGGAGTCACAGTTTTTCCACTGTTTCTTAGAATACTAGATTACTGAGGGTATGTTTAAAATTAAGTAAACAAAGACAAACTATTAGGACCCAAGAGACCCTTTCTCACATGTTCCTGATCAGAAGTAGCGCTGTAGCTCAAGTGGTAGAGCGCTCACCTGGAGCTGAAGAGCAGAGGGACAGCGCCCAGGCCGAGTTCAAGCCCCACGACCAAAACAAAAAACAAAACAAACAAAAAACCCCACAGCTTCTTAATGTCTGCTTCAAAGCACAGGTGACTACAAGAAATTTCTAACTTAGGGTTCAGCCCTGCAAAGACCTCATTCCAAACAGAAAGAAAAGGAATGTGTTTACCCAATTTTTATTTTATCTAGTCATTTATTTACTGTCTTTATTTTCAGCTATGGGGGCCTGAACTCTGGGCCTGGACACTGTCCCTCAGCTCTTCAGCTCAAGACTAGAGCTCTACCACCACTTCCGGCTTTTTCTGCTTATGTGGTGCTGAGGAATCGAACCGATGGCCTCATGCATGCAAGGCAAGCACTCTACCACTGAGCCACCTTCCCAGACCCTTACTGTCTTATTTATGAAATAGGTTTTCATTCTGTAGGCCAAGCAGGGCCTCAAAGTCATAATCTTCCAGCCTTTGCCTCCCAAATGCTGTGATTGTGGGCATACTCCACCATGCTTGGCTTTTAATTACTTTAAAAGACAATTTTAACTTGTATAAACTAAGATTTATAGATCTTACTGATTAAAGTAAAAACAAAACAAAAAAATCATTGCACCTGACACTAGGCCTGGAGGTACACTAGTCTGAATTCATCCAAATGGTCACCTGTGTGTATGTGCTTGAACTCAGGGCATAGTGCTCTCGCTTGGTTTTTTTCACTCAAGGCTGATGCTCTACCACTTCAGCCACACCTCTATTTCTGGATTGTACTGATTAATTGTAGATAAGAGCCTAATAAACTTTCCTGCCTGGGATGGCTTCAAACCCTCAGCGGGATTTTTTTTTCCCAGGCCTGGGCTTGAACTCAGGGCCTGGGCCCCTGAGCTGCTTTTTACTCAAGACTAGCACTCTACCACTTGAGCCACAGTGCCACTTCCGGCTTTTTTTTCTGTGTATGTGGTACTGAGGAATCAAACCCAGGGCTTCATGCAGACTAGACAAGCCCTCTACCATTGAGCCACTTTCCCAGCCCCATAGCTCATGATTTGTAATGTACTTTCTTTCACGCCCTAATAAAGCAAGCTAGTTGCAACAAAGTGTCATTCGATTGCTTCTGCTGCTGCAAATGAATTTCAGCTGTCAGAATATATTCATTCAACTTTGCATATCATAAATCCTGCCCTTTGAAAAGAGCACTGGGAATACCAAAGGAGCCCATGTTCCTCAAAGCCCGGGCGACCACACGTGTTACCTGTAGCTTTCTTCACACTGTGGCGAGGCCGTGCGGGTGTGGGGCGGAGGGTCCTCGCAGCGGGGTCCTTTGGACCCTCTTGACAGTCTGTGCCTTTAAATCCAGGGCAGCATCTCCATTCCAAATGGGTCACTGTCTTGTACCTGGTGACGTACCTGGGTCTGAAGTTTACCCGATACCTGCGGATGGAAAGGCAGGATCTCTTTAGTGGCTGTTGTGAGGAGCAATTCCCACCTCCCTTGTTCCCGCCAGGCTGTCCTGGAGGGCTTGCCCACAGAGCCTCCGCTCAGCCTGGGCCCTCTGGAGTTGTCCAGGAAGGCAGAGGTTCCCCACTCTCGCCTCCATCTTTGCTGGGTTTGGAGAAGATTTTTATTTTTGTTCTTTGTTCTTTTGTTTTTTGTGTATGTACCTGTCCCAGGGCCTAAACTCAATGCCTGGGCCCCTGAGATTTTTTTTTATTTTCTTAAGGCTACCACTTTGAGCCACAGCTCCACTTCCAGGTCTTTTGGGGAGGTGTGGAGTGTTGAACTGGAGATAAAAGGCTCACAGATTTTCCTGCCAGGACTGGCTTTGACCTGTAACCCTCAGATCTCAGCCTCTTGAGTGCTGAGATTGCAGGCTGGTACAACTGCATCTACCTCCTCCATCTTGTAGATTCTGGGTAAACAGACCTTAGAAAAACTCATGAGAGCCGGGCACTGGTGGCTCACGCCTGTAATCCTCCCTACTCAAGAGGCTGAGATCTGAGGACTGCAGTTCAAAGTCAGCCCTGGGCAGAAAAATCCGTAAGACTCTTATCTCCAATTAACCACCAGAAAACCAGAAGTGGCGCTGTGGCTCAAGTGGTAGAGCGTTCACCTTGAGCTGAAGGGATTAGGGACAGTACCCAGGCCCAGAGTTCAAGCCCCATGACCCACAATCTTAGCTACTGAAGAGACTGTGATCCAGAAATCATGATTCAAAGCCAGCCCAGGGAGAAAAGTCCACAAGATTCCATCTCCCAAATAATCAGCAGAAAGCAGGGCAGAGCACCAGCTGAGCAAACAAGCTGAGCTAGTGCAAAGCCCCAAATTCAAACCTCAGTACTGCTGCAACAAACAAACAACGACAACAAACCTTAGTAGGCTGGGGATAAACTCAGTGGTAGAGCACTAACATGTCTAAGTCCCTAGTTTGATCCCAAACACCATAACACACATACATGCATGCAGCTTGAACGCACAATCCCAATTGAATGTGGACACTTTTCAGTCTCCCAAATGAGTTTTTGTTTCACCAACAAACTGTTCACCAACTTCTGTTCTATAGCTCTCTGCTCTATAGGAATTCTTTTCTTTTTAGTTTTATTTTTCTTTTTTGGTGCCACTCAAGGTTTAATGTTTTAAAGAAACATTTCAAGTTCATTTCTCCTACAATCTATACAATCCAGCTTTGCCCCTTCTTTCCCCAACTCTTGCAAAGGCAGCAGGCTGTGGGCCCCGGGGATGACATCTCCTGCTCTTCTGTGCAAATGTTTTTACAGGATACCTTGCTCCGTACTGCCAAGGATGGGGATCAGGACGTGGATCAGGAGGCTGCTAGGGTCTGGGCAAAGCGGTCGTTACAGGCCTGTGTGAAGGGCTTGGTTTCTGACCAGCTGGCAGTGCTCCTGGGAAGTGAGGGAAACTTTCAGGTGGCAGGACCTACTGGCAGGAAGTCAGGTGACTGAGGGGATATCAGAACTGCCTGCTTCTCATTCTGCCTCCCAGGCTACCACAAGAGAAGCAGCTTCCTCCATCACAGGCCCCAAAGCAATAAAGCTCATGAAATCATGAGCCAGCGTAAAGTTTTTCTCTTTATAAATAAGCCGATTGATCTCAGGCTATTCATGATAATAACTGAAAGCCAACTAATATAGAAGCTCTATTTACAAAGTGATTCTTCCAGGGCTGGGCTATGGGTCAGTGTTTGTTTGCTTAGCATGCATGAGGCCCTGAGTTCTATCCTCGCCACTGCAAAAGCTGAAAAAATAAAGTGCATATTCCCTGACAGACAAGGGAACCATGCAATTTCCAAAGAAGGGGAGAGGCCTGGATCTCTAGCAGGCAGTGACAACCCAACAGCCCAGCTGAGCATGAGACCAGAAGTTGAGTCCCCCCAGGTATCTCTGCTCAGAGCTCAGTCAATAGCCATGGCTGTGTGGTATATTAAGCACAGCCGTGTGTGTGTGTGTGTGTGTGTCTGTGTCTGTGTGTCTGTGTCTGTGTGCCTGTGTGTGTGCCTGTGTGTGTGCCTGTGTGTGTGCCTGTGTGTGTGCCTGTGTGTGTGCCTGTGTGTGTGCCTGTGTGTGTGCCTGTGTGTGTGTCTGTGCGCGCAGTACTGGGCACTGACCCTTAGGCTTTTTTTTGTTGTCAGTCATAGGGCTTGAACTCTGGGCCTGGGCACTTTCCCTCTGCTCTTCAGCTCAAGGCTAGCACTCTACCACTTGAGCCACAGCACCACTCCCTTAGGCTTTGTGTGTGTGTGTGTGTGTGTGGTCAGTCCTGGGACTTGACCTCAGAGCCTGGGTGCTGTCCCTGAGCTCTTTTGCTCAAGGCTAGCACTCTACCACTTCCGGTTTTCTGGTGGTTTATTGGAGATAGGAGTCTCACGGTCTCTCCTGCCCGGGCTGGCTTTGAACTGCAATCCCCAGATCTCAGCCTCCTGAATAGCTAGGATTACAGGCGTGAGCCACCAGTGTCAGGCTATCCCTTAGCTTTTGCTGAAGTCTAGTGCTCTACCATTTGAGCCAAACCTCTACTAATAGGCTTTTGCTGGTTAACTGAAGAGGAGTCTCGTGGGTATGTTTTCTGAGGCTGGCTTTGAACTGTGATTCTCAGATTTCATCCTCCTGAGTCACGAGGGTTACATGAGTGAGCCACCAGAGCCCCACTGTCAGCTCTCCTTCATATACCACAATGGCTCCTTTCTGGCTTGGAACCCTGGCTTCTCTGTCTGGCCCTCTTCGCTCGCTCTTCATCTCTCGCAGCAGCCCTAGCATCTGGCCTTGTCTAGGGGCCAATTTCCAGAAAGAAGCAGGCTTTGTGTCACTCTCTCGGGATTGCTGAGCGCCACACATGAACAGCTCAGGACCACCAGCTGCCGGGCTGCAGGAGCCTACGGCTCAGCCAGCCGAGCAACGCCATGTCACACGCCAGCCTTGGAGCAGTGGCCTCAAAGTCACCTTCCTAAGAAATCACAGCTTTCTACAGGGCATGCACTTTAGTTTGGGGTTTTGTTTGCTTGGGTTTTTTGTTGTTGTTGTTGTTTTGTGCCAGTCTTGGGGCTTGAACTCAGAGCCTGGGCGCTGTCCCTGAGTTGTTTTGCTCAAGGCTAGCACTTGCATACTTGAGCTACAGCTCAATATTTGGCTTTTAATGGGAGATAAGAGTCTCATGGACTTTCCTGCCCATGCTGGTTTCAAACCTCAGTCTCAGATCTCAGCCTCCTGAGCAGCTAGGATTGCAGGTGTGAGCCAGGGGTGCCCAGTGGTAATACACTTTTGACATCTCCCCCGAGGGTTAAGAACCACAACCGAGTCCAACCCAGCTGCCAACCAGCCTGGGGTGGAAGAAGCAAAGGGATGCTCCTGGAGGATGGAGGATGAGGAGCTGGGCAAAGGTCCCCCTTCCAGGCCTTCGTTCTCTCTTTCCACACCGCAGCCCCATCCAGGGCCCACTCCTCATACTGCCCCCTTTGCAGAGGTGAGGACAGGCACACAGGTAACGTGACTTGCTCATGCTCAGTCAGCCTGGCGTGGCAGGACTGGAACTGAACCCCAGCCTTCTCTCCATGCTCTACACAGTCCTCCCAGCACTCAGAGGCAACCTGGAGATGTTCTAGAAAACAGGGCGGAAAGCCCTGTCTTCCCCACCAGCACACACACAGCCATTTCATGCCTGATCATCTAACTCAGTTCAGTACAACCCACCCTGGTGGGCTCCCACCCCACCTACCCAAAGAATCCCTGGACATTTAAAGAAAGAGCAATTACACTTCATGGTCCTGTGTACTCAAGCAGATCTCAGCGCTGGAGAAGTGTGCGACTCGGAAAGGCTTTGCTCCTCCTAGCATTCAACACAGAATGGGAACGTATGTGTGTACCTAGACCTGGTTCATCAGTAAGTAGATGAGGATTATGGTTCAAAGCCAGCCTGGGCAATGCTGTCTATTGAGACTTTTATCTCCAATTAACCAGCAAAAAGCCAGAAATGGAGACGTGGCTCAAGTGACAGAGCACCATCCTTGAGCAAAAAGGCTAAGGAACAGTGCCCAGGCCCTGAGTTCAAGCCCCAGGACTACTACAAAAAGAAAAAAAAAGGAGGAGGGAAGGGAGGAGGGCAATGGAGGCAAGGAAAAGAAAAACAAAGAGAAGAGCGATGATAGGCCATAGCCCACCAAACTTCGCTCCACAGAAGCCAGCAGCTAAGAAAGTCCCGGTTCCACCGTACATGGCAGGGTTTTTCTAAGGGGGATGATGCTTTGGAGAGAGTTCTTCCTTAGATCAGGTCTCTGGATCTCCACCTCCCCCCACTCCCACTTTCCCCTTCCGCTGTTCAGGTTGACAGGCGTCCCTGTCAAGTCAGCTACCTCCAGGCCTGGGAAGCTGCTGGAGGGATTCCTCCATGCCCGATGCCCCTCATGTGACTGAGTCCTGCACCACAGCCTTGGGGCCGCCTCTGTGGGAATCTGAGGATCATTAAATAGCAGTTGTCCAGCTCCACCAAGCTCTGGGCTTATCCCAGGAGAAATCAGGGTCTTATAAACACCAGGGCCACGTTGAGGCTACCACTTAGGCTACACCCCTGCCTCCAGCTTGTAAACACTGTCAGGAGCAGTCGGGGCGTGGCTCAGGCAAGCTTGGCAGGAAGGCCCAAGATCTATCCCCCTAACCGCCCAAAACAAAGGCCAGGCTTTACCCCACCCCACTCTAATGGAGGTTGAGACAAAGGGAGGATTGTGAATCCAAGGCCAACCTTGGCTACACAACAAAAACCTGTCTCACAACCAACAAATGCCAAAAAAATAAAGTAAAACCAAGCAGGAAAACCACAACCCTCCCCTCAAACACAACAACAAACTCCCAAGTAGACATCAAGTGGGATCAGTGAAGATTCTCCAGACCTGGGTTCCATTTCCTCCCCCAGAAAACGCATCCATT